GCAGATAAGCCACCCGTCGATCTATCGAAATCGATCTGAAGAATTTTTTATGAACTGAATCTTGAAGCAGCTCCACAGTAAAAAAGTATAGATCGAAGTCCTCAGTAATGTCCGGATTTTCTTCCAAAATTTGAACAACTTCGTTAATTGAGGCTCTTTGAACTATATGGGGGGCGTCGTTGGTAGACTCTATCAGGTATGATATCTGCTTTTTGATAGAGGAAGGTCCACCCTTTTTCTTACTCTCCACACGAGAGCGCTTAGGTCGTTTGGTTGACTGGATTTCAGGGAATTCTTGACTGTGGAATTCTAGTGAATCAGCTGATAGGCTAACAACAACATTTTCAAGTGTGCCACCAAACACTGTCTCGCTTGGAGCGCAGACATATTTGTCTGTTGCGTCAACACCCCCAAACATTTAGTCTAATTTCTCCTCAAACTCGGGTTCAAGTCCACAAAACTTGAACTTTTTGACTGCGGGAACTACCTGCATATAAAAAACCGTAATTCAGTTAGTTTGAAAAAAAGTGAAATGACTCAAATTAAACTGGTTAAAAAAATTCCTTACCGCAAGTCTTTCTGTCCACCACTCTTCTGGAGCATCAATGGTACGCTTCACCGGATCCCAACCCAAACCTGTTGAGCCTCTTTTCAAATCTTTCCAAATTTTTCAATCTTTCTTGAGTTGATCCCACTTGTTTTTCATTTGCAACTTGTCGTAGTCCCTACCCTTACATTATCTGAAATTCTTAATAATATTCTGCCACTCTTCCTTATTGAAAAAGATGGTTGTGATCTCTCCATTCACATCCTAAAAGGATTCATCAATGTGTTGGCGATTATTTATAAAAATTATATGAATATTTACATCCTTAAATAAAAACAACTAAATGAATAGAATTTTAATCGAGGTATCATTCAAATGTGTGAGTGCGTACATATATATATATATATTCATCCCTCATTATTTTAGCAAATGCTAAAATTGTCATGATCCTATCTAAGCAAATGTGTGAAAAATTTGGTTTAGTTCAAAAAATAATATGTTAAAAGAGGTTTCCCGTATTTTAACAATCAAAATTGTTTGAGGTGTTCCACTCAAAATATTAAATTAAAATATATGTATAACCGTTGAGTATTATTTTTAAATAATTTAATTGACCATAATACTATCAAAATTTATAATCAATTAAAATTATTAATTAAAAAAGAGTTAAAATATATTAAATACCATTATAATATCTTAAAATAAACAATAAGATTTAAATCTTGTCCCAATCCTTAACATCTTACAGCTGTGCAATTAGAATAGTTAAAATGATTTTTTGTTCGCAAGCAGCTCGTGTTCAGCCCGCTAAGCAAACGAGTCGAACACGAAAACACTTTTTTTGTTTGAAATATAAGCGAGCCGAACACGAATAGTGATATTTTTTCACGAGTCGAACATGATCCGAGTCTGGGTTCGCCCGTGTTCGGCACATTTACATGCCTATATGCACGCACATGCTAATTTTAAAATTGTTGGATTTTATATGTACTAATGGAATGTAAGATAAGTAATTAAGATTTAATAACAGTCAGGGTCAAAAATGTTAGGTGCCCGTATTAGGTGAAAGTGAGCGACCCAAATAGAATCCGAATCCAAGTCAGAATCTAGCTTTTGATTGCAATGAAGAATATGCCTTTCACCTAAAGTGTGAATAAAGCAGGCCGCCACCAACTTAAATTAAATAAATAATGCAACTACCCTGTTTCACCTAACCCTAAATTCTTTCC